CTGACGAGGGCGATCTTTCTTATTGCCTTTTTTCAAGTTAATCATAATAAATCGAAGTCAAAATGCCGAGTGATAGATTGTTTTGCTGTACGAAGATACGTTGTCCAGGTTGCACCACGTGGAGGTAAGTCTATCGCGGACCCCAGAGCAATAATATGTCCAATAAGCATTTGTTAGGTCAGAGGTCATAAAGGTCAACTATGCCTATTGGTCTATTGAGATTGATAACCAATCAGATTACAAAGGTAAAGTACATGGAAAAATTGGAGACAAACTGAACAACCGAACCGGATAAAGACCTATTACTACTCCAATCAACATAAAGATGTATGATTAATTAAGTGGAAGAGTCGTTGACATTCATAAACATTTTTTGTAGAGCCATAACATGCTAAGCTGGTTAAAAGCATTCATTGGACAAAATCAGGAAAAGTCAGATATGGAAGTGTTCTGTCTAAATCCAATCCTTTGCAAACAAGTCCTCAGCAGTGAGCTGCCACAAGCTGTATTCTTTTCAATATCTTCATCAATGACATATCTTTACTGTTACATAGAGTCACGGGCATCAAGTTCTTACCTTATGCAGATGATCTTTTCTATGGTATTCCGCTATTAAGAAAGACGCTCTGGAGAGGACAGAAAGTGCCCTAAATGGGACATTTATGCTACTAGCAAGCTTATACGACAACAATGGAATGGTTATCAACTCCGCAAACATTTGCATTGGTCCGCCACAGTGTAAAACTGCTTTTACGGGACAAGGATACTTCGCTAGAAAAATTCACGAGTTCACTTATTTCGGAATGACGTTTGACACAAAGCTAACATGGAAAAGTCACATTGCTAAAATAGCAGATCAAGTCTCCAATGGACGAAATGTTCTGAAACGCCTCAATGGTAACATATGGGTCTGTGCAGAACCCAATCAGTTGTTGAGACGAAAAACAAAATAGTGATTCTACAATGGGGTCCTGGAAACAGTGGCATTATAGGCAATGAACGTGTTGACGCACTTGCTAAAAAGGCGACTACAATTTCGCAAGGCATAGACCAGCCGATGTCTTTGCACGTAATAAAGACTTTAATCAGGTGGAAATTCAAAACCTCAAGATGCAAAGAACTTAAAGCTCAAACAATGGTGCAAAAGTGAATAGTAGCATTCACCGACATAGCCGACTGGCCAAGATTCGAATCCGTTGCCGAGTTTAGACTGCGTACCGGAAACGATTGCCTGGCGAAGCTCCTTCACAGAATAGGCGTATACTTACAACCAATATGCCCCCTTATGTAGCCTACAGGAGGAAATGGGGAAGACCCACCTGATTTGGTGCCCAGCCCTAAAGACAACGACGGAAACCCAGAGATATGGGAAGCAAGAAGACAGCTTATGAACTGCTATATATGTACTCCAGACGTGAGGAAATCTGAAGTCAACTATGGGGCTAATGATAAAGACCATAAAGCCTGCAATTTGAAATAATAGTGTCAATCTGATCATCGTGTATCGGCTAAAACGCTGCTACATTAATTAACTGGTAACTAGACTGATCCATATACCGATATATGTTTTACACCCTTTCAATTGGATTAGTTTGTTGGACTATTTCTCCAAATATCGATTAATGTAGGCAACTTACTATATTTCTTGAATCACATATACTTTCTCATTGAAATGAAGTTCTAGAAGATATGAATTCGCAAACCACTGAAAGGTACGGATACCTAAAATAGCAAACAAGTATTTGAACTAATCATTAAGGTAATATCGTGCTCTACAGGGTGGAGGGGGGGGGGGAAGAAGAACAACAAAGTGGCCAAAGTCTAAAAGGGGAACAAAAGAATCTTTCACGGGTGTATAAAAGGGACAAACAAAAAAGTAGCGAAAAGAGTAAGGTAAGGTGAGTACTAAGGAATTGAATGAATATGACATGTAGACTTATCATGGTAGTTTGAAGTCAGAAGTCAACTGTTGGTTTGTAGGCTTTTTGTCCAGGATGCACCACATATAGATTATTAGTTTATCGCCCACCCCGTACCATAACATATTCCCTAACATCTCATTTGTCCTTTTAATTTTTTATTCATAAAGCTTTGTCTTTACAGATCTTGATTGCTTCCCACAGTTGATAGTTATATAATAATTTAAAATTAATGCTGATAACTATTATAGATAGGAAGATTATTAAAAATCCATTAATTATTTAGTAGTAAACTACAACATTTAACCAAATTTCATTGGCATATCAATTAACCATTTAACCCACAGTCAATAAATCGTTTTTGCTTCCATGACAAGTCAGACCCAATGGATAAACATGCATCAATGGATCTAGGCTTGTCATTGTGAAATGAAGCATTACGAAGGCTATATATTTCCAGCCTTAATCGGCAATGAAGTGAATGTAATTCCTGCCAATTTGCAACCTCCCCTTCGAAGTATTGCTTAATGAATTTGAAATAATGCGTACACGTGTTATTGTGGTCTGTTGCTCTACGTGTTTGTTTCTGCATATGCATATGAATTTTGGCAGTCATTATAATCGCATAATAATTATTAGCCATGCAGTAAAAGTTGATGCGACTTACGGTTGAACGTCTGAGTGCTATAGTTACCGAATATATCAATGAAATAACCAGCCCATAAATCAAGACTTTGCCTGCAATGGTCAAAATATTGGGTACGTATGTTACAACACCTGAGGAAAGGTGTCAACAGCATATGTAGGCATGATGATATGTGCGAGGAATGAATGTCTTGTGAAATGTGATGCAGTGAAGCATTGACTATATCCCGTGCATAATAAATAATTGTTTACTAATTTTTTCTAGTTCAATTGTGCTTATAGTCAAGTATCTTTATAAATATTTGGGTAACAACTAAGAGCATTCTTTTTACTTCAAGACAAAATAGAATTATTGAGAGGTTCAATTTCAACTTCAATATTTGTAGTTGATTTCGTCTTCGTGGCCTTGGATACTCGATTTTCCAGTGGGATAGATTTTTATTCGTCTCGCCAAACCCTTGCCCATGACGATGCGAATTTTCGACTGATATGGCTCGCTGGAATCGGTGCATGGATGGGAAAGTAAATGGGAACCAATAGGAGCTAGAAGATAGCCTATCAGGGAATATGATGACGAATTGAAATACAAATATTAAAGTTGAAATTGTACCTCTCAATAATTTAAATTCATATTCAAGCAAAGAAAATGTTCTCAGCTGTAACTACTAAAAGCACTAATTGGATGAACGTCAAAAAGAAAACGCAAATCGAGAATTGTTGACATCATTATTCTTATTACTTACAGGAGAATAATAGAGAGCGTACCTTACGCAAGTCTACATCTTTTCCCTCTCAGACATAAGGCAACTGATCTTAAGCAGAATGAACAATTCCTGACGTAAATCATTTCAATAATCGAAGTCCAAGTGGACTAATTTGTCTAAGCGATCCTTGTTTCTTTTTTTTTTTTTGTGCTAGTTCATGCGAATTGAAAAATGGCAAAATTTAGGACTGTAAGTGAGATAATGATTCAGACTAAAAGATGGAATTTGACTTCGTGCGCCTTTCCATTCGCGTTAAAAAGTTTTGATGGGAATGTCATAAAGGACTATCTTTATCATTTTGCATCATAGACAGTCGGTAAAGACTTTTTCATTCTTCGGTTCTCGAGGCCAAGCAAAAAAGGGGGAATTCGACCTTTTTTGGCTTGATTATTGGAATGATTCGTGTCAATAAATCTTTTAGAAACATGTCCTTAATTCAATAGACAAACTTTTGAAATCCAATTATCTGTCCATTTTGGATGTATGAATTAGGCTCAATAATTTCCAATCGCGACAAATTAGAGCTGCAATATCTTTCAGTGCTCCATATAGCCAAAAATTTAATAGTCTTTTAATATTCAAGCTGTCACTGGACTCAATTTACTTTATGATGTTGTATAAAACCACCACACACACACACACTCACTTCTAAATGTATATATGCATACCACTAACTAGTTTAAAATTATTATTAATAATTGTCTCTAATAGATCAATTACTGTAAACGCAGTTGCCAATTCCATAATTATCTCTATGAAGGTTTGAACAAGGGTGGGTTTTGCCCTCATTCCCGCTTGATGGTGGCGAAACCCACCTTTCACCTGGTTTTTAAAAATAATGTTTCTATTAGAAGCATTAAATCGGCAATAAGTTGTAGAGAACGTAGGAAAAAAATAGCTTTTAATCAGTTGATACAACGGTAATTACAATTTAATGTCACTTTACATGACTTTAGCTCCTTTCAAATAAACTCAATTAACTTCTTCTCCACTAAAAGCTTTTAGCCAATCACCGATAATGTGGAAAATCGATACGGTACTCAAGCAAGATAAAACATTTTATTGAGGAGACATGAACTCTCAAGTAGCCTTTGTTTTAACTAGTTGGAAGGTAATTTTACATTTACTTTTTTAACTACTTATAATCAATTTAATAATAACAATAAAGTCTAATTGTTCAACATGTACGTGGGACGTGAGTGAATAATCAGAAGAAATTAAATTAATTAAATTAAAATGTAGAAGTGCTTAATCCCTACTATAATCTTATCCAAACTTAACTAGAGACCACTACCTCGTTTTAAAGTTAGAGAAAAAGATGAAAACAGAAGGAAATGAATAGAAGTGCAAATAAAGAGCCACTTCAAGTGGTCATGCCTAAGTCCGTTAGTAGCGCAAACTCGGGACCCAAATGAAAAGTTGATCGATAAGTGCTAAAGCGACGAGTGAATTAAAAGGACGCGGATCAGTGTACTTGTATTCGATGGCAAATGAAAAACCGTTCCCGCAACATGCCATCCAATTTGCTTCCCCATTTACTTAGACTTGGTTGTTAAAAATGCAATTCAATTAACAAATAAAGTCCGAAAACAAAAGTATATTTGTAAATGTTAACTTTACTAGAAAATTCATTAAAATTCGCCTAAGCCATAATTGGTGAAACTAAGATAGTCTATTTAGATGCATTGCTTTCGTGATGTCGACGTTCAACTTTTCGCCTATACTCCTCCAACTCGGCAATTGATTGGGTTAAAGGTCGAAGGAAGGAAAGGAGTGTCCCATATTCTTCATCATTCTGATCCATGCACGAATCAAGGTAATAATTGAAATGACTGATTTGTCTCCGGAGAAGCACAGCTCTGTTATGAAGCCCATCAATCAATTCAGTTAACTCCTTGTATTCCGTTTCTATCAACTGATCTTCTGACCTCAAACTGGAGTCGAATACTTCCCTAGCTCGAGTAAGGTCATACATAAGGACATCGAAAAGCAGGACTAAAGTCTCATAGTCTACAAGTGCTAACATCTTAACAAGGCATAAAATCACCTGTTTGAGATTAAAAGAGTAATGGTGAGTACGAAGTATAACTGAAATATCTAAAACTCATGTAATTAATAGTTAATTACCAATGAATAAAAGATTTCTAGCTTGAAAAACCAATTTTACTTAATGCGAATGACCCAATCCAAATCCATGAGTTAAGTGCCGTTCATCGATTTTGAATTTATGTTCTTTAAAAGTATTTAGTAATTTTGAATAGCATTTATCTCGTTTTATTAATTGGTCTCATTTACTTAAGTTTCGAACTATGTTTTATATTAAATTAAATTCAATTGCTAAAAGTATCTGAGGACGTGGGATTGATCCAACCTAATTTAATAGTTTGTAGGTTAGAACGTTAAATTTTGACAATCTTAGTCTTAAATGCATTTTATTTGTAAATCTACTGTCCTGTAGCGGATTGCTACGCTAGTAAAGCCTGACCGACTTAGAAATATCTATGGCAATTTCTATAACATCTAGCTAGACTCCCAGAACCAGCTAAGCTATAGCCCAGCTATGAAAGAAAACAGACGTGTAGCACGGAGCACGTTTATTCAGATAGTATATTGCGAATAAAGTGTACACGTAGGAGGCTTAATCATGATCAGGATGGCTGATTAGGTTAAACAAAGGTTAATGATTGCTTGTACGGTCGCTCCACACAGAGTTGTTCGGCCGCATCTCCCAATCCTGGTGAGCAGACATGCAGGCATACGATGGCGCACAAAGCGATAACATGTCCCAAAGTCCCATTGCTGATTCAATGCAGCCAAATGAGCAGAAATTTTCGAACAACAAATTCTAATATATTTATAGTAAGAAATAATTCCCATACTTAATCTATGTTTAGAACCGTGAATGATATCGTGTCAATTCGGAGACAGTAAACATCAGAGCAAAAACATTTCAAAACATTAATTACATTACATAGAGACATCCCGCAATTACACACATAAAATTTGTAATACCTAGATTAAGACGCTAGAGATATCACGCTTTTATTCTTTTAGATTGCAACCATATAAACTGAGCCAAGAAAATACTATGATCAAGGATGACGAGTTGAAGAAAATGAAGTTCTAAGCTACTCTATTTGTGCATGCCTTGGGCGAGATATTAACAAGGTTACACATGTGTATTAGTGCATCGGTATGCTTTAACATAAGCTAATACCTGAATATTGAGGAAGGAGTAACAATGTGCAGTCATATTTGATAATAGCAATTAAAGTCAATTTGACTTTGAAATGTACAATTATTTAAATTGAAGTAGTTATTAGTAACCTGAATTAGCCACAATTGGCAAAAAAACCAATTTTGAGGCCTATAAATGTAAAACGCGATGAAATAAATTATGAAGAATATGAAATTAGGCCGACTTTTGTGTCTAATGCTCCTCCCTTCTGTGAAGCAAAGTCACCAAAAGGGAAAATGTTAACTATCATAAAGCCTATCATTTGATGTTAATAAATATTTAAAAAAACTCTGTCTTTTAATGTGACCGGTTGATTATAGTGATTTCGAGCGTTTAAATATTTTAATGAATTTGTTGCTTGTTTGAGGTGGTTTAAGATTGTACTCACTAAGTTTAACTGACAAAAGATGTTTTGTTTTAAAAGCGCTTCCCTATTTACTAAATATTTTAGAAATTGAATGAGGAGAAGATAATGCTGTCGTGTTTGCTATGTGATAGATTCTCAACCTCCATCACCAACACCGCCACCACCAAGTGTTCGGTTTATTTACGAATATTTATCATAGATAGTTGGGATAGATTCCATTTTCAAATTGGACATGATAAAATCATTGAGTTCAGGGAGCATAGGGATTTTACCGTCGTCAATCCACACACAGTGGATTTAGCGCTAATGGTTATATACGATCGTAATGTGCAGAGGATGGACTTAGAACTTGTATCAAGCCTAGTGAAAGCATTACAAATTCTTCTTAATCTGGATTTTACTGAGCCCTCAAGGCACAACAAGCCGAATGATGACTGGATAAGGGAATCCATTGACAATTACTACGTTTGCCTAATTGGGCTTTTATCAAGGAAGTGGCGGGTTTGACACAGAAAAGATTAAATACGAGCCCCTCGATTTCACCCCTCTTATAAATTGGGCTTAGAGTACAGTTTACTCATCTTCTCACAATTCCTAAGCCCACCATCAATTACTTGAAGGCCATCCAACAATAGCTACTTCATCCCTCATTACGTAAAATTCGTATCCACAGCACAGCCGCCTCTTCCCCATCCACCTACTTGTGTTCTATTAGTGCTACGGAAAAAAGAGGAATCTTTCCCTGGATTGGACTACAACCCTTAATCGTGAACCTGTTCTAATCGCCATCTGTACATGACTTACCTGTTCAAATAAAGGGGTCAAATGGAGAAAAAATAAGAGTTTTAAATTAGTTAGGACAGCAAATTTCATTTCCTTATTCCAAATTGAAGCGCCTTGAAACAACAACATGGACGTTTCATATACCGTCTCTACCAAAGTTGACTTGAAGTCAGACATCAAGTCCATTCAGTGTGCACGATGTTGCGCAACATGAAATATAAGAGGTTTCTATTGTTTTTTACCAGCAAATGCAAAATAGCGTTCGACCGTTCCAGAAACTGAGTGTAAATGAACCTATTCAAGCCTCCGTGTAAAATGTGACGGAAAGACGGGAAGTGAAATCGGACATTAAATACCTAATAAGCTGACTTAGAGGCAATCAAAGGACCATTTGTTACTAGTTAACAATCGGAATCAATTAAAAGACAGTAAAATTGGTAAAATGTGTTTAGTGAAGTATTGTGTATTTACGTATGAATTGAGAATTTTTGTCACGTCAACCAGAAGGTAGGCCAAATTAAAATGATGGGAATTGATAGAGTAGTCTAAAGATGAACACTAATTGGCAGTGTGTTGGCTTTCGTTAGGGTGGGTGATATTTGAGATGTAAATGCCGAAGGCAGTCCATTTGGTTTGTAAGATGGCTTGCCTTGGAACAGCTGATTATCGTCTCCAGGGTTGTAAGTTTTCCAATTTTCCATCCTGTTCAGCAATGTTGTGAAGGGTTTCTCATTTGATTAGCATTTTCTCAATGTTTTCAGAAGAGAATAATTTATAATGTTTAGCAATTTCACGTGAATTGATTTCTTTGCACATATGATTGCAATATGGGTGACATTGTCGATTAGTTTGTCAGAATGGTATTGCAGTTGATGACACATGCATGTAGTTCATCTAACAAACGGTGTGTGAATTGAGGCCAGTCAGCCTTCTTGAAGTTCCATGATAGCTTGTTTGGCATTTGTGTTGTAGAGCATTAGTAGTTGGTGGCAATACTTGCCATGACTGTTTCGTGATTAGAGCCAGGAGTGTCAATTACTTGGCATTGTGTGAGTAAGTAAGTGTAAGTAAGTTCTAGAGAACTGCTGTTAAGCCTTTCTTCGATTTTCTTTACAGTTGGGTGTATGCTGCGCATTGTAGGGTACAGGCACAATTGTTTTGCGTGACATGTTCATAAGATCGAAATTGAAACTGTTCTGGGGAGGATGCATCTAGAAGTAGTTTTGACATTTCTATCAATTTAATCTAATCATTTCGCAAATATCCCACATTGACCTCATACTTTCCATTATTCCACAATATGATATGATGCCTTCTTTTACTCTTGTCAATATTCCACAAGTTAATTGCCGGCCTTTAGGTAAGAGATGTAATGTGTAACATGCGAATTCATGGTGTTTGAATTTGTCATCCTTAGATTTGGCTTCCGCATGATTGAATATATCTATATCATTTATTCAGATAAAATGACACCTGTTTGGTGCGTGAGGGTACATAGTACTCCCATGCGACTATGTGTGGGCTTGCGTAAGCGCGTATGTAAAGAACTGCATGTGGTGTCTCACTCTTCTCGCAGATCCATGCAATTTCGTGAACAATAACAAGCCAACTGATCGTGGTGATTCATCAACCTAGCATTCAAAACAAATCGGATGTGAGGTAAGTTGCTTTTAAAAGTACTTGTGTCAAAATTTCTTTTCTGTTTTTTTTTCAAAGAAAACTATCGGAGGAGAAAAGTGAGGAAAAATTCCACACCACCATTGACTGTAACCTTGGGAACACTGGAAGAGAAGTACATATTTTCTTCTTCTTTTTCTTTTTCCTGTTTTCCCAAGAGTAAGCCCATGGTTGTGTTGAATTTTTTCTTTCCTTACTCTTTCGGTTCGATCGCCATAACTCTTTTCACTCTTTAACTCGGGAGTAATTTTGTTGTATCGTGTATGCTACACTGCGGCAGAATTTTTCCAATTAAAATGACAAGACAAATGGCACCCATCAAAATATGGAACCATTCCCTTAGCACAAAGCACGTGGGGTGTTAGGAGTAGTGTTGTCATTTTGTCTAGAAGAATTCTCTGCTTTGTTGCTCACGATGCACTAAAACTACTCGGGAGAAATTGTTCTTATTTTGCTTCTTCATTTTTCTTTAATTATTTCTAAACAGTTCATTTGCAAAAATGGAATGTAGAGAATTTTGATGTTTGAGTCTAATTTTTGTAGCCCAAGCAGATATGAGGTTGAAAAAATGGAAGTTTTGTGATGCAAAATTTGTTGTGGACGAATTACTGTTTTTCAGTTGGTGAGATGCGATTATTCGAGCAACAATCACACAGCGAGGTAGTCAGTGCCATTCCTACTAGAAGTAATGAATTGGGGCCTTTGAGCCACATTCATTCCCTAATCGCACATATCTTCATGCGTACGCACGCTGTCAATTCTTAGCCTAAGGGTACGCATTTATTTCGCCTATTTTAGCCAAAGTCTTGGAATGATCATTCTTTCAAGCACTATGTTTCTCAACCAATTCCAGCAACAATTATTACACCAAAGTGCGGAGTGCGATACACTTACCTCCACGTTGCAAACC